TGGACCCGGGCGCGGGCGCCGGCCTGGACCCGGGCGCGGGCGCCGGCATGGACCTGGGCGCGGGCGCCGGCCTGGACCCGGGCACGGGCGTCGGCCTGGACCCGGGCGCGGGCCCGCGGAGGCGCGGCGTCCTGCTGGCGACCTGCTGCCACCACCGCTGCGAGCTGGCCGCCTTCTTCGCGCCCGGACACATGCAGGTACACGTACACTCTACACTTATCACTTAACCTTACGATGTTAAAACGCCTCAATGCTGGCTCCTTAGTAATTACAATCTTTCTCCATCTTTAGATATTTACGACGTCATGGGTGTCATTTTCGTGAATTTCGAGGGTGGTTATACTGATGGTGTGCTGTCAAATCATATATCCAAGATGGCGACCGCACAAAATTTTCAACTTTTCGTCATGAGTGTCGTTTTCATGGTTTTCGGAGATAGCACCTTTGTGCAATCTCATATAACGTAATGACACACAATTGCAAATTCTCTGAATATTTCCAGGAGCTGGGTATAACCGGTGAGGAATTCAACGTGATGCTGGGCATCGTGTCGTGGGCGACGTGTGGCGACGGCCGCAGCAGAGACTCGCGCAACAAGCCCGACACCGGGGACGGCGCCCGCCCCGCCCGCGTGCAGGACGCGGAGCGTGCAGCAGTGCAGGAGACGGAGCGTGCAGCAGTGCAGGAGGCGGAGCGTGCAGCAGTGCAGGAGGCGGAGCGTGCAGCAGTGCAGGAGGCGGAGCGTGCAGCAGTGCAGGAGGCGATGCCAGTAGAGTCCCGCGAGGCGGTGGGACGGCGCGCCAAGCAACTGCTGGACTGGCTGCGTGTGCTACGGCTGCGGGAGCTGGGGTTCGATGCTAGACTGTGCTTCTACGTGCCGGTTACCGTGTCTCCAGAGAATGTTTGTATTGTTGCGAAAAAAATTAGCTGAGTGTGCCTTATTGTATATTATATTTTAGTTAAAGAATACTGTTTCTTTTATTATTTACTTACACGGCTCTATTTCATACCTTTTTATGACTGCTAGATACTTTTGTCAGGTAAAGGTTCACTTGTATGTCATCCACAGACCACTGCATAGCTAAGTAAAATACTCTACATCAAGGTTTTATAAAAATATATGTATGAAGTAGCACAAACGTAGCAATAGGAATGAAGATGGTTGGTGGGTAAATAAAATAAGACAGCAACAATAGCAAATATAATGTATATTTATATCAATAATTATTATCTAAATTGAAAATGTTATTACTATACAAATGTTCAGTGAACATGCGGGCGGTACAGTCGCCGCGGCCAGACTCCACGTCCACCCATACACTGCGAGCCGTCGCGGGACCGGCTCCCTCCCCCAACAACTACTTAGCAAATTATTATAAAAATAAACATATCTACTGTCATTCATTTTACATAGAAATAAATAAATGATAAATGCCCCGTTGTAGCATACCGACACCGCAGCACAGTGCAGGGTCAGCAGACATGTACATACAGATATACCTCAATTTGGAATGCAACGGTCGAAGACAGGCGCGCTGTATTAGCGAGCCGTGACGCGGGACACGTTTGTATCAAAACAGTGTAGGGAACTGTTTTCTTTTGAACTTGAATATAAAAAAATGTTGGCTGATTATGATTCATCATTTACAATCGAACACTTATTACAGTAACATGATACATGCATACGCATCTACAGTCTAACCTTGTATGTATCTACATTATTTACTTTCCGGTAGACATTTCATGTAGTTTGGGTTCCGTGCCCTGACACTCGATACAATTTATAAACCTATTAAATAGTAGTCTTTTACATTTACACCAAATGAAATGTCACACAGTGTTACATATTTAGTATCTTCTGCAACATTTGTAATTGTCTAAAGATGTTCTCCGCCAGGGACCTGTATGTGTGTATAGTCCTCAGTACAGTTATAGTAATACTTAAGTCTGTTTAGAGAATCTTTCAAAGCATAATGAAGAGAATAGTACTTGTATATGAAATAGTTTTAGTAAAATGATAGTTTTTACAAAGTCATGATGAAAGTGTAGAAGTTTATTTGTCAATGAAGATGTTATAGACACAAAGTTTCCTCGAAGATAGTTTACAATCTGCATAGCTATGTATCAAATGCTATTGCTGTATAAGGTACAGGCTGACGCATACAGCATCGACAGCATGGCGCGCGCAGTACTGGCGCCGGCACTCCATGTACAGCGGGGACCAGCTCCGGACTGCTACATACATACATACATACATACATACATACTATATCATACAATATTTACACAGAACCACGCTCCCCCCCTCGTGTGCACTCCACTCTCACTGTCACACACTTATTTATTAAAGCGCGCATTTAGCTTTTGATTTACAGTAAATGCGCATAATTATACAAATTTATTTATTACCTAAATTAGAAAGTTGCTACAACTTGTCCCAGATACAATGTCTCGTTCTCTGTTGACAATACAATGATATACAATACAATGCCTTTTTGCGTATATTACATAAAACTGGCGCTAATGACGTCGGGGAGAGGATAATGTTATATTATAGAACGTTTCTACTTATTGTCAAGAAATGAAAACATATTTGACATCGCAATTTTTCATTATGACGCGGTCGGGAAGTAACAGGGAAGTAGAAACCCACGGCGGGCCGCTCAGTAGCCGTAGCGCTCCTGTATGGAGGACACGACGCCGTTGGCCAGCGACGACAGGCGGCCCGCCACGCGCGTCACGCCCGCGCGCACCGACTCGCGCACGTCGTCCAGGTCCGGCGCGCCCACGCTGAAGGCGCGCGCGCCCCGCGCCCCCGCGCCCGCGCCCCCCGCGCCCCCGAAGTACTCGGCGGACGAGATGCTGTTGCTGCCCTGGAACCGCGACAGGTTGGAGTCGCGCTCCCAGCGGGATTCCTGCGCACCAACACTTCCACGTTCATTTACTGATCATCGACTACTGACACCTTACTTTTTATTCTAATCTTTTATACAGGGTGTCCCTGTAGTCGACGATAAAATGGCACCAGTTGATTGGCAAGGTTTCTACAGTTAACAGAAAAATATTTAAAAAATCCAATTTAATTTACAATGCCTTATGTGTTATCCACGAAAAAGTACACCCTGTGCCAGTCTTTTGACTCTTGTTGCTACAACTCCCTATTTTTTCGTCTGTATTTTTATCCTGAATAGTGCTTCAATATTATGGAATCATAAATTCTGAACTAACTACTTTTGTACTGCGGTAGTAGTGGCGAATTTCACCAAAGTTGGCGCATTTAATATGGATTCTAAAATGGTATGTCACTCCCTACATTACTTCTTAAATTCGACACGAAAAAAATATTTTTCATCGTAACTCCGTTTCCAACCGTTTATATGGACGAACTAAAATATATTTTAATGTACCCAAAGCGCACCTAAACCCTCGTCTCCACTCGGCAACACTTTACACGCGACACGCCATCATGGTGTAGTTAAACATGTTGGAAATTAGCTACGATCTCTTATTAACTCGTCGAGTACCGGTTTTGTAGACACAATTATAGAACAATAGGTTGCGGTCACCGGTGACCGCTTGGTGTTTGACAGTTTAAACCACATCATCGGTCTACTCATGATTTCGTTGGGAGTATTCGTCGGCAATGTTGTCGCTAAAAGAACAAGGCTGTGCATCACGTCTCTCTAAAGAATATTTGATGTTCAACTCCAGTTCTATGGAAAAAAGAATCATGCCGTGCATTCGTATTCCGTTTGATAAAATTTTCGGTAGTAGTAATTCACCACTATTTTTTTTTTATTATCTATTTTATTTTAGGGGCTTTTAACCAATAGGCTACGTCAGCCCCATCGTAGCCCAAACTTATCTGTCTAAAACATTTTAAATTAACTAAAAATCAATTAGAAGTATCAATTACCAGCGGGTCATCACTGTTGCAACATCCTTACAATAGACCGTGCTGCATTGCTTAAAGGTTCTGACAAAATACTAGAAAAAGATCCCAAATCATATTTTTTTATATTATAATGTTGCATCAGTGAGTCCCTTGCCACCTTAAATTTAACACACTCCACCAGCATATGATAAACATCATCCAACTTGCCACATACTTCACAGTTAGGTGAGTTCACTTTTTTCATTAGAAATGCGAATCTTTTTGTGGGATAAAGTCCAGCTCGCAGTCGAAGTAATGTTACATCGTCTATCCAATTTAATTTACATTCAGCATAATCACCAGTCATGATTACGTAGCCCGATTAGAGGATCCTCCCAACTCATTTCATTTTATGATGGAATAATTTGGTAAAATGTGCAAAGGGCTCGGCCATGCTGTGACACCGCTGGCTGGCTGCTTCGTTCGCTTGATATTACGCGACATTGCCATGCATTATGGTGTTGAACATCAAATGTTCTTTAGTGAGATGTGATCCACACCATCTGTTCCTTTAGCAACAATACTGCCGACGAATGCTGCGAGTGAACCATGAGCAGACAAACGATGTTATTTTAGAGGCTATTGCCGATTTCCAACATGTTTAGCAACATAATAATGACTTCATGTCGCGTGCCAAGTGTTAATTCGGGAATACTAGAATACATTTTAGTAAGTTCAAATAAATTGTTCGAAACTGAGTTTTCGTTGGAAATTTTTTTCGTGTCGAATTTAAGAAGCAATGTAGGGAGTGACATGCCATTTGAGAATCTGAATTAAATGCGCCAACTTTGGTGAAATTTGCCACTACTACCGCAGTATATTTTTTTCAGTACAGACACTTAAACTAAGTTGAAAATATTATTAAGAATACTTGGATCATGATATTCATTATTATTAAAAAATGATATTCTTTTCTAAACTAAAGCAAGTTGGTTCAGAATTTATGATTCCATAATACTGAAGCACTATTCAGGATAACGTAAACAAAAATAGGGAATTGTAGCAACAAGAGTCAAAAGACTGGCAAAGGGTGTACATTTTCGTGGATAACACATAAGTCATTGCATTTTAAAAACAATGTGACGTGGATTTTTTTAAATATTATTCTGTTAACTGTAAGGACCTTGCCGATCACTTGATGCCATTTCATCGTCGACTTCAGGGACACCCTGTATGTTCTGGTCCCAGTGAAAGAGCCTTCATGAGCTCCATTCTCAGAAGTCCTCAGTTAAAATTTATATTATTATGATGAATAGAACCGACTGAGTAAACCAGATGAAATATTTTAGATATTGGATTTAATTATGATGTGCTCACTACTGATTTAAATATAGTTTTTTAAATCTAAACAAAACATTCATTTTATGTTGCATACACAATGCATATTATAAATGTAACTTACAGGAGTATACACATGGTCTGAAATAAATAATAATAATTATTATTGCAAAGACAGACCTGCTCTCCAAAGAACTGTGCGGAGCTGATGGCCTTGGCGGAGCCGAACTTCTTGACAGCGGAGTCGTCCTCGGGCTCCGCACGCCGGGGCCGGCTGCGGGAGGCGGCCGGGGCGGCGCCCCCGTCGGGGCCCGCGGCGCTGGGGGCGGCGCCCCCGAACATGGTGTGCACGGGCCGGGCCGGCTCGGGAGAGATGCGCGTGACTCCGCCCCCGCCCAGGTTGTCGTACGAAGAACACTTGCGGTCGCTGTCACCGAATAGTTTGTCCAAGTTGCGACTGTTGCCGTATGGCTCGTTTCTGCAAAGAAACATCTTATTCTGACGACATCATTAGGCTCACGATAACGACAGCCATGATCGTCCGTATTACATGTCTGCAATGCTACAAGTCATGGAGCCCCGAGCGTGCTGCATCCCGTCCACAGTAGAAGGAGGGGGAATTATCCGTATCCATTAGTAGGATGGTTGAACAACAATAAAACAATTAACATTAAAATAATGAACGTCAGTAAGTCGGTAATGTACCTGATCATGGTAAAGGAAGAAGTGAAGTCGTCGATGTCGTCGAGCTGCGCCCGCGCCGTGGGCGCGTCCTCCTGCTCTATGAGCGTCATGTCCGACGTGGCCGAGTGGGACACTCCGCTGCAACAATACACACTGTACCAGCGCACATTACTTCCTAAACTTAAACTGACATTGTGCTACTACAAGCTCCACGGGGTTATTATTATCCACTCAGCCCAGCAAACTGTGCAACAAACAATTGTCTTCTCCAGTGAGTCGTAACAAAAGCATGGCGTCGTGTCCAGAGTACTACAGACGCCGTAGGGGCGGGACTCACGCGCGCGTGGCGGCCGTGGCGCTGGCGATGCCCAGTCGGTCGGCGTGCGGCCGCGCGGCGCCGGCGCCCGGCCTGGCGCCCGGCCCGGCGCCCGGCCCGGCGCCCGGCCCTCCGTACGCCAGACGCAGCGACGCCACCTCCTGCTCCACGCTCTCCAGCGTGGCGCCCCCGCTGGCGCCGCTGGCCGCCGCCTCCGCCTTCAGCTTCTCTGCCATGATGGCTTCGCGCTCGATGTCCTCGAAGTTCGCGGCCACCTTGGTGGCGCCGAGCCCGCCTTTACGCGCACCCAACTATAACGAACCAATTTCGTTACTCCACTCATACATTTCAATTTCACATTCTCAATTATTACTATAGTAACTGAAATCTTCTGTTCACATTATCATGAAAATGATTTCTCAATCCCAGAAAAGAAAGATCGTGTGAATAGTTGAGTACTGACCCCGGTCCGCTTGGCGGGTCCCTTGCGCGCGGGCTGCGCGGGCGCCGGCCCCGCGGGGGCCCACAGCCGCGCCTGGGAACTTAGCTCGCCTCCGACCGCGCCCCCCACCTGCCGTAACATTCACTCAATGTCACATGTTTAAGTGATAAAATATAAAGTACAATGTGAATTGGAATGTTACACTCACACCATACAATGTAATGTACAAACAATTCTCTCACACACATACACACACACACATTGAAACGGTTAACTAAGATAATATCTTTACATGACTGACCAGTGATCTGTTGAATAAGTGACATGCGTTTATATAAAACTCTTTTATATTAAAGTCAAACAATTAGAAAATATACACTGATGAAAGTGATTATAACGATAAAAATAATGAAAGCAAGCAAGGCAGACGACACAAGCCAGTATGAACATACCTGCGCACTGGACATGTGTGCCAGCCAAGCTGTCACCGCCTGCAGTGTTTGCTAAGCCTAAGCATTCCTATGAGTGTCACATTACTCTCACTCGTCACCGAATGCTAGGAGCCGTGCTCGAGTATAGATGGCAGGCAGTGTCAGTGTTACCTGTGCAGGGACAAGCTCGCTAGTGTTAGTGGGGGCGGCACTCTCGCCGTGCTCCGCAAACCAGTCTACCTCGGGCTCCTTGCTCTCCTTGGGCTCGGCCGGCGCGGGGTCCAGGTGCAGCTACAAATATTCAATACAAATATATTCATTTCCATTTAGTTCAGAATATTATATACTGAATCTAAATTATACTTAACTATCCTAGGTAGGTTCAATACTATGCCTGTATAGAATTTAGTCTGTACCACAGGCGTTACGGGCGCGTGCAGTATATAAGTATATAATCTATGAGACAGTAAATGACAATGCCAGATCCTGACCCAGTCATAATATCATTTACAAAAAAAGTAAATTGGTGAAAATAATTTTGACGAATAAGGAACATTTTCACAATAAATCTTTTTATTCTTAAACTTGCGGTTTGCAATCTAATAAAAAAAGAAGTTCAGTCCCGGAAATACTTTTTTTGCAATACATCTTCCATATTGTCTAATGACTATTTGCGTTACATCACACTTGTACGAAACTATGAAAATAAAAAAGTAAGTAACTGTAAAAAAGATATCACTAAACATGAAATATTATATCAAAAGTATAATTATGTATAACATTTATTTATTTATTGATAATTACAGATAAAATCACGATCACGAAGAAACGATTACTATCATTAGTTATGATTTTTTTGTGTAACGAAACGTTTTGAAGCGCTCGTTAGTTGTCAGCTGTCAGTGTCAATATTATATCTTGCATTCGCTCTCTGCGTTTCCGTTGTTTTCGCGTTATTTATCATTATTGTTTTGTGTTTTAAACAAAAACCGCAAGTTTTACAGGTTTCAAGACATATGTTTAGGTATCGGTAATTAATACACTGCACGATGCTGAATACTGCATACTTGTACATGACTTCTAAGATGTACTGAACACCTGGGTGTTCAGTACATCTTTGACCCCCTATATTGGCATTGTCCTTTATTCTTGACATTTATTAATATACCCACGGACTTCCTTTCTATTTATACCTTCATGTTATCTATTTAACAATAATCAACCAATCCTCGCTTTTTTCACCACTTAATGATAGCACCGAGACATGCGCTGTTTTGCTCTGGTGTAATTTAGATCACAAACTGATGTTTTTCATGAATTTTATTGTCCAAGTATGGCACTAAAAATACTATTGTATTTTCATCTATGTGTAAATACATACTTTGATTCAGAGCTAGAAGTACAGATATCTTTCCGTTCTTGGTGTTAGTTAGATTAGCGTCATATTATGCTGTTGGTACGGCGAATAATAGGATGTGTGTGTAAGAAACACGTTACTTACACACACAGCCTACATGTTACAGTTATCATTAGACGAGTAATTACATTACTCATAGCACTAGCATAGACTACAACTACAGATCTGAACTCGGTGCACACATGGATGCAGAGCTCCATGCATCCAGAGCTACCGTCATCATTAAACAATATCCATAAGTCAGGCAGATCTTTAGTGCGGTACTTCGCTTTACTATAAAACCAAGGAATAACATCAAAAGGAATAAAGATTACGCGCTTCAACAGTTAATTGACTGACGACTGTAATCGACTGTTATCGACTGCACGGTTGGCGCGATGGCTGGGCAACTGGCTGTCGCGCAACGTTTCGCGGGGTCGATTCCCGCACGGAACAACTCTTTGTGTGATTCACAGATTGTTGTTCCGGGTCTGGGTGTCATGTGTAAGTGATATTGTATGTGTGTAAACGCACCCACGACAAAGGAGAAAATCCAAGTGTGGGGCAACGTTTTGAACTGTCAAACACCAAGCGGTCACCGGTGACCGCAACCTATTGTTCTATAATTGTGTCTATAATGAATTAATGACGGTACTGGACGAGTTAATTTAAATTAAAAAAAAATGTAACGTTGCGTTTGTCAAATTTTGACATTCAACTTTCCTCACTCTTGGCTTGGATTCCGAGCGAACAATTACTTACTAAGAAAACTGTCAGTCGACTAGTGTTCATTGATTACAATCTTTAAAATCAGTGTTGTGAATTAATAATACGGTTAGTGCGGTAGCTAGGCAACCGGCTGCCACGCAATGTGTCGCGGGTTTGATTCCTGCACGGAACATCTTTTTGTGTGATCCACAAATTGTTGTTCTGTGTCTTGGTTGTTATGTGTATGTGAAATTGTATGTTTGTAAACGACCACAGGAGAAAATCCTAGAGTGGGGCAACATATATTAAAAAATTAAAATTGTTGTTTCGCTTCAGATTATAACATTGAACACTGTTATGTTAGTACTTTGAAAATGACTGAGACCTCTGAGTTTGTTTCGGCGTTTCTTCTGAGAGTAGTCGGAAGGAGCTGTCGGCCTCACCTAGCTTAATTAAAATGTAACCAAGTAAAAGAGCAATTTATGAAAATAAACAATTCTTACATTGTTTTTTGTGCATGCACATACCTCTATCGATATGTGTGACGAAGAGGGCTCTCTCCAAAAGCATACTCCCACACATAAAAAATATATTATGTATAAGTAATCATTGCTACAAGTAGCAAGTTCCTCAATTACAATATAATGTATTGATACTTTGTAATATGTAATTGTTATATTTAATTACTTACCCGAACCTGTAAGTAAAAGCATAAATAACTGAACCAGAACATTCAATAGATTATACATTAAAAAGACGACAAATTCTATGCATTAATTATGTAATCAATTGAAGTAGTTGATAACTGAGCTAAATCCAACAAAATTATATTATCTTGCAAAGAATGCCAATGGTTGGCCTTTGCCCTCCTCAAAGGGTTGTTCCTATTAGAATAATACTTGTATCAATGTAATGTAAAGAACAATACATGTATCAATGTAATATAATGTAAAGAAATCATTTCTTACACTTCCATCATATGAGTGCTGTTTAGATGGGAGGGGCAATTTTCACAATTTAGCACAAAAGTTTTGTTAAATTAAATGTATTTTTACTATGCTATTACTTGTGTCCTGTATTGACTTTTTTACTTTCTTAAAGGTTTTCTTTAATTTTGAATTGATTACTATTGCCAAATAGTCTGTGATTTGTTTAAACGTCAACATTATAAGAATTTTGTGTTACAGAATTTATGGAAAAATAAAACATTAAATGTTGTTTCTTCATTTTAAGAAGCAACGCATTAGTTTTATTTAATTTTAAATCATAAGATTTAGTCTTACATCTATATAAATGTTATAAAGAAAGTTGCTTACCACTGACAACTGAATTGTGGATGTTTCAAGAAATTTAGTTAACATATATTTACAAATATGCTTGGTTTATAATTCTGTTGTAGTTTGGTACAGACAAGTATAAGTTTTCTTGCAACTCACCTTGGTCCCATATGTCTTCATAGCTTGTTCAGACATGGCGCTCAACTTGTCACGATACATCTGTGCCACACGGGAACTGTACTTCTGACGAGCATCTTCTGTGGAGAGTCCATGTGTGCGGAAAAACTGGGTCTAAAACATAAGTCAAAGCATAATGTAATGTTGGTTGCAAGGTATAATATTATGTAATTTACTTCCAAAATCAAGAAACTCAAGTGCCATTTTAAATGAATCTCAAGGTCAACAGCATAGCCGCTGTTTACAATTAGTGTACAGACAAACTGTGTCAGCAGATATTAATTACATTAGCTTACTTTCTTTATATGGAGCTTATGTTATAATTCTATCTCTGTTCAACAAATCTTCAGTTTCAGTTAGATTTTGATATTTTACACAAACTTGGTGGCATATGTTAACCTCAACTTGTCCAATTATTTATATTTGTATGTACTGATACTGCTACTTAAGTATGTACTGAGTGTTAGTAGAATATACAATTCTACTACTACAAATAATAAATAAATAGTCTGAAAGTTATTTCTGAAACAATACAACATCAAAGCTCTGAATAAATTGAAACTGTAGAACTATTCAGCTCTTGTTTTCTCATAACATATGATTTAAACTGTCAAATACCAAGCGGTCACCGGTGACCGCAACCTATTGTTCTATAATTGTGTCTGCAAAACCGGTACTCGACGAGTTAACCCATGAATTTCATATTATAAGGTCATTATTGTTATAAATTATATATTTTCTTTATACTTATACAATTATAATGTTAGTAAGTATCCTTGATAAGATAATATTTGTAACAATATAATCACTCAACTAAAATTTAGTTAGAAGAGGTAGTAGGGTTCAAATCCAATACATTTAAGAAACAAAACAACATACAGCATTCACATTCCCGCCAAGCTGCATGTTCCGGAGTTGTTTCCATGTCCAGTTGGTGTCCAGCTGTGTAGAGCGCACGAATGTGAGGTGCACGCCGAGGCTGCGGTGCACTGCCGAGCAGTCGAGGCAGATGAACACCCCGTACGTCACCGACGACCACGTAGGATTCTTTGCGTTGCAGTCGAAACATACCTACACACCACAATACATTTTATTATAACTCAACGTCCATTATATTCTACCACAGCTATAAAATATACGTACTTTATTCGAAGGAATCGAACGTAATCTTTGAAAAATTGCTTCAATATCGGTTTTACTCGGGCCAGAGTCAGCCATTTTCGACGTGTTGTCACTATCTGTCACGTAGATGTGTCATGACATTGATGACATGTCAACTGTCAACGTTGCACAATTTTAGTTTGCCATGGTAAAAATCACGTCAAATATACGATTTATATTTTATTATATCTTTTCTGAACATTGTTCGATTGTGTTCGATATTATTTCATAGTTAGGTATTTTTTTTTCTTAAAACAACCATCATCTCTACGATTAAATAATCGAAGAGATATCAACAATCACAATGTTTATATGTTTAGATAGTGTTTAGCATATCAGTGGATAAGTATGAATATGAATAAATAAATAAGCCTAGACTAAAAGTAAAGACTTACTATGGATAAAACTCTGCCTCTTTTATAATGATTGTATTGTATTAACCGACGAGCATGCATGAAAAGATTGATGACTGTTATTGAAGCGAAAGAGGTATGTAAGAATCGTAGTAATTGGCGTTCCTTAGTCTCTGCCTACCCTCATGGGAGACAGGCGTGAAGTTATGTATGTATGTAATTACTTTGTAGAGTCTTTCCAAATGTTCGATTATGTGTGTTTTGATTTTGTCTGTTTGTGGTTTTCATTTGTCTATGGTTTTGATTTTGTCTGTTTGTGGTTCTGGTTCTCTGAATAATATAATTATAGTAATCTGTGGTTCTGTCTGGTTTTGTTTGATGTCTGTGGTTGGTTGTCGCGCTTGTCGTTTTGTCGTGCGGATGCATGATAAAAATTATAAAACATATTTTTGTGTTGATAAACTTAATTATTAAAGAAAAAGAATCACGTACCGAACCTTCTAAATTAAAACATCTTGCACACGTTATCTATACAATTTATTTTAGCTCGTGAAATGTTAATGCGGCGGCATCTCGAAATCGAAGTGGTCAATTAGCTATGTCTACGTGCCAGTCTCCCCAGTGAGACGAGTGAAAGTGCAACAAAGTACACCTGTGAACATGTTGAAGTTCTTGTGAAAAGACTGACGAGTGCTAAACCAATCGAATGGAAAACATAAACTTTCAGCCGAGCGGGGAGGAGATCGAACGAGCCTTGATGGACCTGGGCCCCCTGCTCGGCGTCTCCATCAAAGAGGAGGTCCCAGAGGAACTGACAGACGGTAGTGCACCGCCTGCTGTCTCGCTCAATGTAAGCTGTTTACATATCTCTTAGAGACAACTGTACCTATTAGTAAAACTGATATTTCGACAATGTTTTCATTCAGTACATATTATTGTGTAAAGTAAACCAAGATATGGGGTGTTTATATTAATTTGGTATGCATGGTGCATGGTAATAGGCTCACCCCTATTAGATAGATTTGACAACAGACCCAAATATGTTTTATGTGTAATTACTGATTACTTGTTTGAAACATATGAGGTGTTATAAGTAAATACAGAACATTATCCCTGTGAACAATCTTCCCTTGCCTCACTTAAAAATGGAAAGTCATTTGACGATTTTCTCCCCTCAAAAAACTGCATTTTCGAACATTTTGACCAGAAAAGATATTTTTTTTAATTCTTTAAACCTTTATTATCAGGCAAACATGGCCCATGGAATTTGAAAGTGGCAGCTGGGATGTATACTCCATTATGGCACTAAAGCTACATTGTGCCAACTAGATTTTATTTGAGTTTCACAATTTTTTATTTATACCATACCTTTGAAAATTAAATCAATGAATGAAAGAAATAGATATGATAATCAATATAAAAGATAGACTGCCTCGTAAGCCGGGTTGTTGCAAATGCAACTTGCGGGCAAGTGGTCTCGGGTTCAATTCCAAAAAGCTGTACAAGGTTCTTAAAAAAATTCTCAGTAGAAGGGCGGAGTCTGGGATTTTGCCCAGTATATGGCAATAGGCTTACCCCTTATAACATGGGACTCATAACATAAATAAATAGCAAAAAGTGGGTGCTATATTGTACAGTGGCATTAAGTGCTGTAATGTGCCTATCCCTTCGGGGATAAAAGGCGTGATGTTATGTTATGTTATAATAATTATTGTCTGGTCTTAAATAAAATTCATCATGTAATATAAATGTATATGTTAACTTCTGAACCAATTGATAATTTTAATCAGGTAATGAAAATTACTTTTAAATGAAATGTACCTATTATAGTTCTTGTTTAATAACTGCAATTGTTTGGTGGGCTAACACCTGAATATTGAAAGGTTATCAATTTTAAGTTGTACTAAATGTTGTGCCATCTCAGGCCATGGAGAGTAATTTCCCTAATTATGACAATTGTTCATTTACTGAAATAAAAAAAATTAATGTTCTATATGAAATAATAATTGTAATATGAAATCAATAGGTGAGTAGCACACCTGATGGCGGGCTCGCTGGTGGCGGCGGCGCCGCCTCCGGCTGCCCCGATGCCGCGGAGGCCGGCGACGCGGGCGCGCTGGGCGAGGCGGGCGAGGCCAGCAAGGCCGGGGCGGCGGACTCGCTGGCGTCGCCCGGCGCGTCGCGCGCGCCGCCCGCCGACACGCGCTGCGTGCTGTGCCACACGGTGCTCACTCTCGCGGAAGGGACGCCCAAACTCATGGAGTGCCTGCACTCGGCGTGTGAACCGTGTATCAGAGCCAAGCTAGAAGAGAAGCAAGCCAGTTCAAGAGATTTCTTAGGTAAGAATGCATTCTAACGTGTTGCCCCATTCCAGTATTGGGGCAACACGTTAGAATGCAAAAAACAAAGCTACAAATTAAAAAAAAATAAAAAAACCGTAGAACACATTTACAATTACAGATCTCTCAGATGTTATACTATTAAAAATTCTTAGTAATAACAATCGTAATAGTTAACTTCATCTAGTCTTATACACTACCAGCTACTTCCGCGCGGTTTCACTCGCTCTGCTCGGCGCCTATTAATCGTAGCGTGATATTTTATAGCCTATAGCCTTCCTCGATAAATGGGCTATCCAACACAGTAAGTATTTTTTAAAATCGGACCAGTAGTTTTGGAGATTAGCGCGTTCAAACAGACAAACAAAAAAAAAACAATCTCTTCACCTTGATAATGAAAAATATCCCTCCCAGACACTTTCTAAGTAATCACGTGGTCGGTGCTTGGAACAAACTGCCAGGTTTAATCGCTGCACAGAATGTTAACCAGTTCAACAACATCGAATTAACCACTGATAGAAAAATACGATACGGGCATTTATCAGTTGTCTCAACTGCCTGCCTGAATTAAATAAATAATAATAAAATATAATTATAAATAAACCAAGCAAGGACAACCTTGTTGCGGGTGTCCATGGGCGGCGCTGATCGCTTACCTTCAGGTGATCCGTCTGCTCGTTCGCCTCCTATTCCATAAAAACATACCTGTCCTAAATTATTAAATAAACAAACAATACACCATACTAGTTAATATGTAGGTCATTTACTAAAAATAAGCACTTTATTTTAACACTTCTAGCAATTTTTCCGTATCTGAGTTATTGAGAGACTGTAAATATTCTATAAGTACTCGATTACACTTATTTAAACATACATCATAAATTTTTAGCAGCCTGTTGAGTTTGTTATACAAATATGGTCCTAAAAACAAATAAAATCTGTTAGTAAAAGCATGTTTCGTCTGAGGGTTAGTGCAAACTAAATCCTTTCTTCTCTTACCGCTTCCGGTACACATACATACATAACTTCACGCCTGTCTCCCATGGGGTAGGCAGATACTATGAAACGCCAATTACTACGATTCCTACATACCTCTTTCGCTTCATCAACAGTCATCAATCTTTTCATGCATCCTCGTCAATTAAGGGTACTTTTAATTTGGCCTTTCTTTAATATATCGCCAATCTGGTCACTATATGTCCGTCTAGGGAGCCCTCTACCGACGGCCCCATTCATATCCGCTCTATATACTTCTTTCGTTACTCTATTTTCATCCATACTTTCTACGTATTTTAACCAGCGTAATATTCCCTTTTCAATCGTTGTCACTACGTCATCTTTCAATCCACACTTTTCTTTAAAAACACATTTTTTACTCGATCACTCAATTTTTGTCCACACATACTTCTCGGGGCTCTCATTTCCACGGCATTAATCCTGATTTCATGCTTCTTCTGCCACACCCATGATTTACTACCATACATAAGCGTTGGTCTCAATACACAGCTCAGCAGAGCTTTGCTGGATATTATTTTACTCGTCATTACAGAGTGTAAGGCACGCTTTCCATCTCTCGTAAAGGTTGCCGGAAGATACCGGGCTAAAACCAATTTCAGTATGCTGCAGTAGTACCTATTATGTTAAGATGAATAACTGGCGTCCTGTCAGTACTTTGCATTTCTTGTATAGCTGGTGAGTAGGAAACCTGAAAGGACGAAGGTGGCGACCTTCAGGATTGCTCTTTGGGCACGGTCTAGAAGCAAAATAATAGTTTTTAGAGCACCACCCCATGAGTTAATACAGTAGGTAAGAATGGATTGCCATAAAGCCGTACACACCTGGCGAATCAAGGTAAAGTCCGCAATGTTGCGCAAGTATTTAAAGTCATATTAATTTTCGTACTCTAGTGCATAATGTATTAATATATTTTCGGAAATTGACATTAGCATCAATAGTGACACCTAGATATTTTATATAGTAAATTTTTACTAATGTAGGGCAAGCGCATGCTGTGTCAGCAGTCGTGGTCGTATGACAATGATGTGCATAAATGTTTAGGTTATTAGTCGATATGTGAGTATTTCTCATTGAAAACAACACGTAATTTTTTTATCTGAATTCAATGTTTATTATGAAGCCAATTAGACACTATATTAAAACACTTTTTGGGCAAATTCATAGACCTCATCATTTGATTTACCTGTGAACACCAGAGCTGTGTCATCAGCATGACATAGTAACACCATCTTGGAGGGACAAGCTGCATAGGTCATTGATTTACAGCCTTGGCCAAAAGTATTAGGCATCCTATGAATTATTTCATATTTTTGATTTAGAGAGAAACAAAACTACTATTGTTGATTAATTTACTTTATTTTCATTAAAACCCTAAAAACATTAGTATTTTGTTGTGCCACCCTTTGATTTTATCACAGCAGCAACTCTGCGAGGCATACTGCGTACAAGGTTTTCGCATACCTCTTGAGAAATTTCTTCCCATTCGTGAACTAAAGCGTGTTTTAATGCAGTTTTTGATATTGTGGAATATATTTTGATTTTTTTCTTTAAAATACGATGTATAGATCCTGGAACTGGGTAGGCTAATCTAACAGGTCAATACAGTTGTCAGTAAACGGATGAAATTTAACACCGTGTAAATTTGTGTCGCCAAAAGTTCACGAAAATGAAGGTATAGGAGCACTTTCTAATACATATATGTATTTTTCACTGTTCATGCGACCTTCGTAAATGCACATTTTGCCGACTTCATTCACAGCCATGCAGCGCCAAATCTTTCATCAAATCAAAGTTTATGGTTAGGACTACGCAATCTGGGTGATATTCTTCGCCTCTGCGTCGGCTTACAAACGTCACACCTGGTGTTCCAAATACCTGAAATGATAAAACACAATACAAACCTTTATATAACCAGAGTTTGAAGACTAATAGAATAATAATCGTTTCAATTGTATTATAGACTCAATTAATAAAACTTACCTCAAAGTATGATTCGTCGACCTTAGTACATTGGACCAATCCCCCTGTTTTTTTATGGCATAAGCCGGTAAACGAGCAGACGGATCACCTGATGGTAAGTAATCGGCGCCGCCCATAGACACCTGGAACACCAGAGGCGTTACAAGTGCGTTACCGGCCTTTTGGGGATTCCTTCCTTTCCTTTCCTTTAAATTACAAAAATTAAAAAATTACATAATGTAAGCCTTATGTACGTCTCACAAAAAGGTGATTATTCGGAAAATCAATAAAACAATTTCGTGAATAATTCCCATTATTTTTAATCAATATCAGTTTAAAAACTACAGGACAGTCCGCTTTTAGTGTGTGTGTTTACACTTTCACACGTCTTGTTCGATGAGCTGCCCTCGGTTTCTAATGCGTGTTCTGATTCGCTTCCTCACTTCAGTTTTTGTGATTCTTGATATGATTGTTGCCCTCATCTAGTCCGCTGCATCTGTTATTCTTTCCCTTAGTTCTTTAATTAAATTTACTGGGGTCACATAAACTAGGTCTTTCATATGACCCCAGACGTAAAAGTCTAGTGGCGTAAGATCAGGGCTACGTGCAGCTCACGGAATCGGCCCACCGCGCCCTATCCATCGGTTTGAATAGGTTTCATCCAGCAATTGACGAATTGTGATTCGGAAGTGGGCTGGACATCCGTCATGTTGATAAATTATGTTTGCTCTTCTCTCTTCCGGTACATTGGTGAGTAGTGGTGTTAAATGATTTTTTAGGAAATATTCATAAAATTCCACATTTAGTGGTCGAGTTAAAAAATATGGGCCAATTAATTTGTCGTCAATAATACCCATCCAAACATTAAGCGAAAACCTACGCTGGTTGCGGTTGGTTTCAGTTTCTTAGGTTTCTGCCTCCGACGCCCAGTAATGTAAGTTGTGGTAATTTGTGATACCATCACGGTCAAAACATGAGCCATCGGTCCACAGAATGTGTTTTAAAAAGTTTTCGCTATCGGCGTCGGCACTTAGCATAAAACGACAAAATTCAAGCCGTCTTGACGGATCTCCCTCTTCTAATGACTGGACAGGTTGACAGTGGTATGGATGTCGGCCTGACAAGTGAACTACAGACCAAACTTTCCACTGTGACGTACCAAGCTCACGCGACACGATGTTTGTCGATTTGGCACGACTGCACGGTTGGTGCGGTGGCTGGGCAACCGGCTGCCGTGCAACGTGTCGCGGGTTCGATTCCCGCACGGAACAACACTTTGTGTGATCCACAAATTGTTGTTCCGGGTCTGGGTGTCATTGTGTATGTGAACTTGTATGTTTGTAAACGCACCCACGACACAGGAGAAAATCCTAGTGTGGGGCAACGTTTAAAAAAAAAAAAAAAAATTGGGGTCGTCAATAAAACGTTTAAGAATCAGCTCTTCGTCCTCAGCCGTGTATCTCCGAGAACGACCAGTGTCAATTTGCCTGCTTCTTTGGACGCTGCCAGTTTCAGATATCCGCCGATAAGTCGATCCAAAAATACTAACGTGTGGGAATCGGCGGTTGGAAAAGCGAAGTTACCGTCACTATAACAGTACATTATGGCAGCATATTCAGGGTTAGAATATGCAGCCATAGTCAGCACTTATGAAGGCACAGCACAAGAGCAAGATACGCGGTATCAGTTAAGGAAATAGCTAGATAACAAAACACGGGCTTCCGTGACGTAGAATTGAAACTAACTGACGCTGACGACCAGATTTTGTAAAGTCGCACCCCGTGTCGTGCCGAAAGAACAATAGTGACCAATCACAAAGCTTGCCGATTGTTTGGAGTTGAAGCGCAGGTAAAAACTACGAATAATACGAATATGAAACAATAGATTGACCGTCGCGCAATTTTAACTGCTCCTCATAAAACTTCTCCCTTCCCTGTGACACATGCAAAAGTATTGACAATCAACCTTTTTGAATAGCTGATAAGACAAGGATATATTTTTTTTAAACTTGTACATCAGGTGTAGTAATTTATTTTCACTAGACAATATTTTGTATGAAGTAATCGCGAAAATAACAAAAAAAATGTTTCTTCAGTGATATTTGCCAAAGTTTTTGGTATTTTTGATAATTATTTACAAAGATCTGCTACGTCATCAACTATGATATTAACTGAAATTTCGGCACAGTCGCGCTGTAAATCATTTTTAAATTGGCTCCAAATGATTTAATCTGGGATTTTTCATAAAATCCTCAAAATCGAAATAACTCAAAAACTACTGAACTTCGGTAGAACATTTGGTGTCCAAATTTGCTGCATTTTGACCCTACTATGACGCCTTGCAAGGAATACGTCGAGTTACCAGTAACCCTGTATGTTAGTGGAGGTGCAATAATAGTGGACGTGCTTAAATACACTTCCGGACACTTGAATCGAGCCCCATTACATTCCCGAGCCTAAAAGCCCATTACACAAAATATATGTAATATAACAAAAAAGTTTTTATGCATTTTTAATGCTGGCATATTTCATCGTCTTTCCCGTATGTATTTGTTTTAACTTTACGCCTGCAAAAATTCCAAGCAATCGGTTTCGAAGTTACAGCGTGAAAGTGGAACAAACAAACTCACTTTCCCATTTATAATAGTAAAGACGGCCTTGATTGATCAGCATTTTCCTGATTATAGGTAGCTGGAACGTATTATAATTATATTTACTATAAATTACAAACGCTATGTCTAGGAGCAGAGCGGGTGACTATTACGTGTCCCGCGTGTCGCCTGCAATGTCAGGTGGCCAACATGATCGACCAACGCTTCGTACTTGAGAAAATGGCACTGGAGCAAGCCGGCTCTAATGGTGAGTATTATATTTTTTTTATGTGACAACCTGGTAAACGAGTAGGCAGAGCACCTGATGGTAAGCAATGGGTGTGTTACCAGCCCTTTGGGGATTTAAGGATTGTTTGGGATTCAAGGATTAGGGATATTGGGAGGGGGAGGGATTGGGCCTCCGGTGACCTCACTCACTTACACGACGCTGGCGTTGTGTCACGTCGATTTTCTGTGAGGCCGTGGTATCAATTCTGTTAAGCTGACCGACTCGTGCCGAAGCAAGGCTCTCCCATACTTGAACACTTCTGTTTAATGTCATAGGAACAAACCATACGTATAGATAAGTTCATGATCATGTTGCTGGTGTACCGGCAATGCGTTGCCGTGTCGACGTGTATAACTGTCCATAGAACCCTCCGACCTCTCTCGGAATCTCTGACTTCGACCGTCGACGAAACGCTGCTACCATTCTCGATCTTCACTTGTGTCATTTGCCCAATAGACGAATAATTTTGAGCCCTAAATTTGCTCGATGGCATCATTGACTCGCGCGTCGTTATATTATGCTAGCATGGAAATTCGCCTCTTGAGTTTGCCGTATTCAGACATGTCAACTGAATACTGCAGTCTCATCTTATATCGGTCTTTCTGGATTTTAGTATATTAGTGCTGATTAATATCAGGGTGGGATAATTCCCACCCTGTTACACGACTATGTTTTAAGATGTAATAATCGATGTAAATTAAAAATAATTATCACAAATTCTGTACAGCAGCGCCTCGAAATACGAATGAATAAAGAAATGTTAATATTTCTTGACTAACACTATAATAATTCAAATTCAGTGTTTCTTTTCAGATAGGTCAGATAAGCAATGTCGTCTAGTTTAATTTGAATGATGAACAATAAAAAAAAGTATTAATTTCATTTAGATAATAGAATGTAAGTAAGTTACAAAGATTTATTTGTATTGTAACTTTCGTGAGAGATACTAAATAAATTATTATGTTTTCGGCTTACTCACGTAATAATTTGACGAGGAACTCGACTAGTTTCAAGCCATGCTAGAAGCTCATATTCATGAGCAGCATTTCGCGACCCGCGACGCGGCGACTGTTCAGTAGCAGCGCGACAGTCACGGCGTCGATTTCGTTGAAATTATTTGTGTTATTTGTTTGATTACTTACTGTTGCAGGCGCGGGCGGCGAGCAGCAGTGCAACAGCTGCGAGGACACGGAGCCCGCCACCAGCTACTGCGTCGACTGCAACGAGTTCATCTGTGACAACTGCGTGCACGCGCACCAGAGGTAGGTCCCAGCGCGCCAGAGGAAGGCCCCGGCGCGCCAGAGCAAGGCCCCGGCGCGCCGGAGGTAGGCCGCGCGCCCTGTGCCCCCAGCGCCACGCGCTACTACGCCCGCGCTTGCTTGCAGGCTGAAGATCACCAAGGAGCACACCATCAAGTCGCGGGACGAGGCGCTGGCCGAGCTGCAGGCGGCGGCGGGCGGCGCGCGCAGCGAGCTCGACATGTTCTGCAGCGAGCACGTGCAGGAGCGCCTGTCGCTGTTCTGCGAGACGTGCGACCGCCTCACGTGCCGCGACTGCCAGCTGCAGCACCACCGCGACCACAAGTACCAGTTCAGCACCGAGATGGCGGCACAGGTAGGCACGGCGCGCGCCGCCCGCCCGCCCGCCCGCCGGCCCTACAGCGCGCATGTTGCAGGCGCGCGCGCAGATCTCGGCGCTGCTGTCGGAGGTCAGCTACAAGCGCGTGTTGCTGGGCTCCGCCATGAAGGTCATCCGCGACCGCCAGCAGCTCATCGCCGACAAGAAGAAGGCGCTGGTGCACGAGATCACGCAGACCGTCGTCAAGTCAGTGCACTTTAAATACATTCACTAAAATCTAATGTCTCAATGCGAACATGTTGCATTGGTCGGTTATTCATTCCATTCGCCAGTTATATAGTCAAAGATGATTTATTTCTTACCAGTTTTACTAAAACTTATTCCATGTATACACTATTTACGTATCTAAAAGTTTTTTTTAACAAAGTGTGATCAATTTACTGTGGTAACATATTTGCCATGCTGTACACTGTGGTAGGCAAACCTGCTATTTTTTATGCCTTTCTTTTGTCATCTGATGTTCTTCGGGCCTGTATTTGTTTTCCATACAAAATGAGTTTACAAGAACGCTACGCATAACCACCGTGTATACAGTCGTCCAACGCAACCGTGTAGACGAGTACGACACGCGGGCAGGCCGATCCCGAACTGCGAACAAAACGATGTTACCACTTAGCAGCTGTATAAAAATAGGGGTTGCATGTGGGTGTTCGTCATTTTTGGAGATAAAACCATGTAACTTGGTACATAGGTCTCTTAGGATGTGCAAAGTTTTTATATAAGTAGGTGCCAAAGGAATTCCAGAAATTGTAACTTTTGTTTTGTATCAATAAAAAAAACGACTTTTGAAGTATCTATCAACACACAGTCCAAACCACTGGACAGATTGGGCTAAAATTTGGCATACAGATAGATGTTATGACTTAGGCATCCGCTAAGAAAGGATTTTGATAATTTCCACCCCCAAGGGGGTAAAAAAGGGGATGAAAGTTTGTATGAAACTTTGTCAGTTTTTAACTGATCGGGTTGAAATTTGGCATGCAGATAGATGTTATGACGTAAGCATCCGCTGTGAAAGGATTTTGATAATTTCCACCCCCAA